GTGCTTAGCCTTCTGAAAGTTTCCTGATGCTCTTTGCTAAGCATACTGAACTTATTTCCTGTTGCACTTATAAATTAATAACATCTCTTTAGATAGTGCCTATTCTATTCATGCTAAGTACTGCTTTCCTTCTCAGAAAGGAGCTACCCAAACAGTAAAGTACTACTTAACCAAACAATGGTCATCTTGTTCCCTGTGTTGGCAGATCACTTATGGACTTTCTCCGTCTAAGATAAATACATATATGCAATTTCTTTTTATCTCCTTAACAAACAATTAAGAAAAGCAATAGAATCAAATAATATCAAATCAAAGGGCAAGGTTTCTAATGTGTTTTAGGGGAGCCATGTGAGAGCTCAAGAAAGAAAGTTAAAATTCTGGACTAAGAAGAAAACAAATAATATAATACAGTGTCTTACGAATTGAAGTGCTCAGTAAAAATCAGATTAGTTGATGTTCCTGTGATTGTTGTCAGTCCTCCAATGGTAGCAGAATAAGCCACACATAAGCACATCACTTTGAAAATCCCACTGTATTTGTCCTTTCTGCTCTTTCTCTCTGCTTCAGTAGGTGGTAGGTTCTGCTTAGAAAGTATATACACCAATTAACATATAAGAAGGGCTCATCATCAAGCACAAAAATATAACTTGAGGGTATCTCAGAAGAGCCATAAAATTTACTGGCAATATATTTGTCTGCAGTGTGGTTTGGTTCGCAGTTACACTGGTAATGCAATTATTCATGTAAAGGAAAAGGAGGCAGAGTCAAATCCTGAAGTCCTTTCTCTCCTGATCTGCCTCAGTCTTTACAGAACTGCCTCTGTGTAGATTGATGTGTATACACACGCCTCGTATATAGAGTTTGTACTCAGGTGAGGTTGCTTAGACTTGTGTAGAATGGAAGGACAAAATCAGTAATGAAATAGCTATACAAGCTAAGTGTGTACATGTGTATGACTACAGGTATCATTCTTATTCACATGCAACCAGCTTCATTGCAACCTGTGCCATTTTAGGTGTGGCACAGAAGTCAGATTTAGGTTAAAACTAAGTTTCACTGCATGATAAAAGGACACTTTAAGTACCTGTTCATTTCCTTTTTCATTTTCCTTTTCAACTGTGCATACAGTACTGCCCACATTGTTGTTATAGCTGGAAAAACAAAGGCATGTATTATAACAAACAGATATTCTATTTAGATGAATTCTTAGGACAGAATTAATAGCAATTACCCATTAACTTGTTTTTCTTTCTCTTTCCAATCTGGGTTTTCATATTCTCCTATATTTTCTGTAAGACAGTGATGCAAAGACAGAAGAGCATTTAAGGGAGTAAAACTGAAAAAGGCTCCATCGGCATGTCTCATCCCATGCACTTACTTCACATCATCCCATCAATACATTTGCCAATTACCAATTTCAGAAACAGTTGATATTGATATGTACCCTAGTCCTTCATGACTCCTGTTCCTCAGAATCTGAATCTTCTAAAGAGGAGAAATATTTCTAGTTTACAGTCCCACTGTGTAGGTAATCAGTCTAGATTCAGTTGTTCTGCCAACATTCTCCTCTCATCCAACTGCCACCTTCTGCACCTGTCCAGTTTTAACTAATCTTTGTGACCATGAGAGAGCTCACACACAGTAATCCAAGAGAAGTCTCACAGTGAAGCATGTGATGATACAAGTACTCCTCAGGCCATTTAATTGTGCTTGGTGTGTCAATGACTGCTGAGTGAGGGTGGCAAAGACAGAACTGCAGCGTGTGCCTACCGTCCAGCTCCAGTGCTGGGTTGGTGGAGCCATTAGAGCAGGACATCTCCAGCTCATCAGCTTCTGCTTCAGCTCTGATGATCTGCTGGGCTACAGCTTCTACGATTGGCATCACCATGGCAGCAGCAGAGGTGTTGCTGAGCCACATGGACAAGAAAGCACAGCTAACCATGAAACCCAGCATAAGCCTGGAATAGGAGAGAAGAGTCTATGACTGCTACAGTTACACCTCCTATCATCAGTCTATTTCATATAAATAGAGAACTTTGTCAACAGAAATGCTGAAACACTGAAAATTTAAAGCTTATAATTTTGAGAACATTTTTAAATTAAAATTGTCTCAATCTAAGATACTGAAATGATTATATTTTAAGGTTCAGATATGTTATAAATTGTAGCAGAAGCAATAATATTTATTTACAGAATTCTACTATATTTGAACAATTTTTGAAGAAAGAGCACCAAGCATGTCTCAAATTCAAATGAGAGTCAAAATGGCTACACTGCTGAAGTTATTAATCTTGTATTGTACAGTCCAAGTCAAAACCCTGGAATTATCACTTGGACTCTAGACATACCAATTCAGTTGTTATAGGAAGAAATATTAAAAATTCAGAAGCGGTACAAAACTTAGTTCTTATTC